AGATGTGGTGGTAGGATTACATTCCTATAATCCCAGCTCTTGGAAGGCTGAAGCAGAACTGCAGGTTCAAGGTCAGCCTGATCTAAATAGTGAGACTCTGTCTCAAAAACAGTAACAACAACAACAACAACACAAAGTAGAAGAAAGACTATCATTAAACAAAAGGAAAGAAAGAAAAGACAGAAGATAGGGGTATAGGATATAGAATGGGAGGAGACATGATCAAAATACAAAGTGTAATCACCACTGTTTAAAATTTTTAAAATTTATTACAATAGGAGCTGGGGATTTAGCTCAATAGCATAGGCCCCTGCCTTGCAAGTAGGCAGTCGTGAGTTCGATCCCTGGTACCGATAAAAAAAAAAATTATTACAATAAAAGACATATTGCCATTTATTTAAAAGTACTTCTCCTTGCATCAAACATACATATCCCATCATTATTCCCACTTTCTGAAGCAGCTCTGGAAGTCCTCCTTCTTGAGTGTCTTTAGTTGCACTGTTGTGTGACTGCTTCAATGCCTTGAATCCATTCAAAGCATTTACCTTTAATGGTCATTTTGAGTCTAAGGAAGTCAGAAGTTGAATGGTACCAGATCTCATGATCAGCCCAAAACAAAACAAAGCAAAAAGAGGACAAGACCCCCAGCATACATGTGTAGGGCAATGAGGACACGATATTTTTATTTGACAGAAATTGCCATAAATATTTTTAATTGATTCAGCATACTGAGGCAGATGGGAAAAGGCACTTGCTAAAGAGGACTTCCACAACTGCTTCAGAAAGTGGCAAGAATAATGGCGTAAGTATGCTCAAAGACTGGCCAGACATGGTGACACACACCTGTAATCCCACTACTCAAGAGGCTGAGTCAAAAGGATCACCATGAGTTCAAGTCATCCCGGTTTACATAGTTAGTTCAAGACTACCATGAACTACACAGTGAGAACTTGTCTCAAAAAAAAAAAAAAGGTGTCTTCAAAGAGAGAATTCATAGCAATGTGTCTTTTAATGTAGTTTAAAAATTTTGTAAAATTTAAACATACCTTATATATCACATGCATTGAAAACCATCCCCAAATGTGAAACTAAGGTACAAGGTAGGCAACGGAACAGAAGAGGAGTGAAAATGATTAAAGTACATTACATATGTGGCCAAATCTGCCAGAATGAAACCCATTGCTCTATGTAACTAATACATGCTAGTAAGAAAAGATGTGAAATAAAAAGTTAAGGGAAGCAGGGTGTGGTGGGGCACACCTGTAACCCAGCACTCAGGAGGCTGAGGCAGGAAGACCATCGAGAGTTTGAGGAGCACCTGGACTACATAGTGAAACCTTGTCTCAAAAAAAAAAAAAGTTAAGAGAGCTGGGGTGTGGCTTAGTGAAAAGGCTTGCCTAGCATGTCTGAGGTCCTGAATTCCATTCTCAGTACCTCAAAATATTGTTTACCTTTACTTATCTATGATCTAGCAATTCCATTACAAAGCATTTATATAAAAATTGCATATGAGTGTGCATATTAATAATTGCTAAAATCTGGAAAACAATTCAAATCCCTATCAACTAATGAACATGTAAACAAATTATATACACATAGTAGAATACTACTTAGCAACAAAAAGGAATGAACAATTATTAAATGCGATACAGTGGGTTAAATTATTGTCCTCCAAAAAGATAAGTTTAACCTCCAACCCCCAAACTGGAGAATATACGTTAACTTCATGCAGAAGTAGAATTTTTTAAGTATAACCAAGTTAACATGAGGTCATACTGAATTAGGGTGAACCCTAAATCCAATGACTGTGCCCCTATATGACAAAAGAAAGGAAGGTTTATATATAAAGGCTCTCAAAAACCTGAAAGAGAAGATCATGTGACAAGGGAGGCAGAAACAGGGTTGACAGAGCTATAAACTACAGCCTGAAGCAACCAACGCAAACTAGGAAGAGGCAAAGATGGACCTTCTCTGGATCCCTCAGAGAGAGCCCACCCCTGATGATGCGTACATACTTCTAGACTCAGACCTAAGAAGATAAATTTCTCTGGTTTTAAACTACCAAATCTGTGGTACTTTGACAGCAACCACAAGAACAAATAATGTACATGCACCAATGCAGATGAATCTCAAACACAGGAAGTTAATTGAGAGAAGCACTCAAAGACCATACACTTCCGATCCCATCCACAGGATCCTCAAGGAAAGGCAAAACTACACACGAGAGGTCTCCAGAAGTTACAGGAAGAGTAGAAATCGATTACCCAGAACTCAAAGGAAACTCTGCGGTGAAGGAATTATTCTGTATCTGTATTGTGGTGGTGATTACATGGCATAGAGTTGTATATCTTAAAAAGATAAATTCAGGGCTGGAGAAGTAGCTCAGTGGCAGAGCATTTGCCAGCATGCCCAAGATCCTGGGTTCAATCTCCCACACTGGAAAAAAACTTCAGAGCCAGGCATAATGACATACAACTGCAATCCCAGCACTCTAGGAGGCTGAGGCAGGAGGATCACAAGTTCAAGCCTAGTCTAGGCAACTTAGTGATTTAGTGAGACCCTGTCTCAACATAAAAAAGGACTGGGGATATTGTTTAGTTGAAAGGTCCTGGGTTCAATCCCTGGTACTGCAAGAAGAAAGAAAAGAAAAGAAAAGAAAAGAAATTCACTTAAAAAACGTATTTCTGGGATTCTCTTTTTTCATCAGTTTATCAAGAATGCTTCTGTCTGGAAGAGGGTTCCCTCTGGACTAGTAAGGGATTCTGTGAGCATTGGGATAAAAACAACTGGTGACACACACCTGGAATACCAGCTATTCAGGAGGTTGAGGCAGGAAAATAACAAGATTGATGCCACGCTTAGCAGCTAAGTGATACTTTATCTCAAAATAAAAAATAAAAAGGCCTGGTTTATAGCTCAGGGAAAAGGTCCTGAGTTCAATCCTGGGTTCAAAAGTGTATGTGTGTGGCAGAGGTAACTTTAGAGTAGAGAAGCCTGCGAGAGCCACATCATTTGACAAAAACTCATTAATATGACAAATCCAAACCCCAGGCCTAATGTGACACATCAACAGCATTACTCTGTTATTCCTGCCCAAAAGGCATGAGGTAAATCCATCAACAAAGCTACAGATAAATCATAATTCAACTTCTACAAAATAACTGGCCTGTAACCTCTGAAAGTGGCAAAGCCACAAAAGTCAAAAATAATAATGTCAAAAATAAAGGACCCGCAGCCGGACGGAATGGTTGTAATCCCAGCACTCAGGAGATAGAGGCAGGAGAGGATTGCTATGAGTTCAAGGACAGCCTAAGCTACAAGGTGAGTTCAAGGCCAGCCTGAACCATATAGTGAAGCCTTGCCTCAAAAAAGACCAAAATAATAAACAATAATAATAATGGACCCGAAAACTGCTTCAGACTAAATGAGACTACCGACTATAATTAAATATGTGTGGTTCTGAACTGGGTCTTTTTGCTATGGAGAACTTCAGCAGGACAATAAGATCTGAGGATGATAACAGTGTATCACTGTTAATTTGGTGATGTTGATAGCGGTATTTTAGTTAGATAAGACTGTCCTTACTTGCAGAAAATACATACAAAACAGGGCATCAGGTAATTTTCTCTCAAAGTAAAAGTGTTGTTTACACCTATAATGTCTAGCTTTTCTGTAAGTTTGTGATTGTTTCAAAATTAAAAAAAAAAAAGACCCCAGTACCAAAGAAAACACACACACACACACACACACACACACACACACACAGGCCAGCCTGGGCTACATAATAAGTTCAAGGCCAGCTTGAACTACACAACAAGATCCTATCTTAAAACAAAACAAAAGGGCTGGGCATACAGCTCAGCAGCACAGTGCCCACCTGGCAAATGTGAGGTCTTGAGTTCAATCCTCAGTACCAAAAAATAAATAAATAAAAAGTATAAATCAGGTATTCCTTATGCAAAAAATCTCAAACCAGAAAGCTCTGAGATTTCAGAGATGTTCAAAAATACCAAGCATAGATTTAATAGGGTAAGCATCCTGATTTAAAAATACAAAATCTAAACTGTTCCAAAGTATTCTACATATCATCATAACTCAATTTCTAAAACAAAGAAAGATGATCATGATTTTAGAAGGGGAGAGTCATTCAGAGGAATCAAGTTATGCTTCATCTTAAAGTTTGTATCTCAACTCTAACACTAAATCTTAAATAATGTAATTAGAATGACCACCTCCTAATTTTTTAGGGACCAGGATACCAAGCCTAGGCTTAATTTAGATCTTAACACAAAAGTAGCAGATACCATTGTCTGAAACACCAATTCTACATTGTTTTGAATAAGGCTCTTGAAGTAAATGATTAAAGCACTGGACACTGCCCTAATCTGAATGCACTATAGACCATTTATCTACACCCTAGGCCTGCACTACCCATGAGGTAGCCATTAGTCACATGAAGCTACAGAAATGCGGCCAGTCCTTCTTGATGTGGCTTAAAACATAAATTAAACAAAACTTTTAAAGATTTAGTACCAAAACATATGAAATATTTCATGTCTTTTATGTCAGTTACATGTTGAAATGATATTTTAGATATACTGGGTTAAATAATTATTTGAATTACTTAAATGACATTAAAATTAATTCCTCCAGTTTATTATTCTTTAGTGTGGTACTAGAAAATTATACATTACATACTTGACTTACATTATATACAGTATATTGTTTTCGTTTTAGTTTGTTTTCCAGTGCTAGGAATTGAGCCTGGGCCTTACACATGACAAGGAGGCACTCTTCACATTATATTCCAAGTAATGCTGCTGCCTCTGACCATTTGTGAAGGGGCAGAACAATGCAGAAAGTAAACACTGACAGACTTCCCAGAAGGCTGAAATGTATCTAGGCCCAGATTATTCTTCAAGATCTAATCTTTTTAGGGCTAATCTCTACCTATCTCTTTACACTCCACTCAGTGTCAAGAAAGCACAATGCGTTGGTACCTGAAACTCTGAGGTGCTGCTCCGCAGCTGGCTCACGTTTGGTAAGGAGCCTCCGTGGTACTGTGTGAGGCGTAGTTGCTGAAGCTTCTGAAACTGAACCTGGAAACAAAGCAATTTCAAGAATGTTGAGAGACAACAGCAGCAGTCTGAAAGACGCGCCAAAGTGTGGTGTTATTAGTGGAATGTTTCAAGGATACAAATCTTGGTTTCTCTTCTTTAAACGATCATAACCTTCAGATTTCCAGTGTGTTTTTTTGTTTGTTTGTTTTTGTTTTTTAAACAGGGTCTTGCTGTGTAATTCAGGATGGCCTTGAATTCACTATGTAGTCCAGGCTGGGCATGAACTTGCAGTGATGCCCTTTCCTCAGCCTCCAGAGTACTGGGATTACAGGTATGTACCACCATGCCCAGTGACAGTGAAGTACTCTTGTGAGGGTTTTGCATGTGTACGTGTAGGCATTCAGCCATATCGTTTTGTGTGTGTGTGTGTGTGTGTGATAAATTCTCACTGAATTGTCCAAGCTGCTCTTAAACTCAAAATCCTCCTGTCTCAGCCTTCCAGAGTGCTGGGATTACAGCTGTGTGCCAGCATGCCCAGCTCAGGCAAAATCTTTAACCATAGAAAAAATCTCTTAATCTACGAATGCAGCTCAGTGGTATAGTACTTGTCAGGCATGTGTTAGTTATGCCCTAGGTTCAATTATCAGTACTGCCAAAAAAAATACATAAAAATAAAATTAAAAGGTTTCCTAAAGAAAAACTAAGCTAGCTGGACGTGGTGGTGCATGTCTGTAATCCCAGCAATTGGGAGGCTGAGGCAGGAGGACTGTTCAAGTTTGAGTCCAGCCTGGCCTACAAAGTGAGCTTAAGGCCAGCCTGAACTGCATAGTGGGACCCTATCTCAAATAAAAAGACAAAAAAAAAAAAAAAAAAGAAACTAAGTTAATTTTTACAACTCTAGTACATTAACAGTTTTACTTCTCTGTGCTTCTCCCCACTGTCTATATATGATTATGTATAATAACAGCATACTTGAAATCATAACATAGGTAGGGTCTTGCCTGTTTACATTGTAAGCCTTCTCAATGTCATTGCATAATTGCTTTTAATGGCTACATTAACATTTCATTTTCAGAATTACTCAGAGCACATTCCAAAGCAAGATTACTAAATCTCTGGATATGGGGTTTTTGAAGGAGACTGAGTTCACAGGTATAAAATGGCATCCCACTGATTTAATAAGCCTTTCTTCTGTAAATTCTTCCTTGCCTCATTTTTCAAAAGGCAATAATCTGATAATAGTCCTTATAAACCCCAAAGTGGCCTGGCATGGTCTTTATGAGTTCTGTTTCTAAAATGAATTAGCTCTGCAGTTATGTAAGCCATTGGCACTCAAGAGTTCCTACAGGGAAGAGGGTCTAGAAGGGCCCTCCAAGACCCACTCTCACTCCTCCATCTTTGTCTAAGAACAAAAACCACCCAATCTGAGTCCCAGGATGGACCCAGTGTTGTCCACAGTGTTTTGCCCACTTCAACCCTGACCTTGCCAAATGCACAAAAAGACTGGCAAACCAATATGCTGCTGAGCCTATGAAATGAAATGCTTTGTAATATTTATGATGAAAATTTCAAATATATAAAAAATAGAGATGTCTACAATTAAACCCCAGCTGTCCAGCTTCCAGATTCATTAATCACCAACTCAGGTCCAATCTTGTTTCATCTTTACCCACTACTCTGTTACCAAAAAGCCTCACTGAAAGAAATCCCAGATATTAGGGGCTGGGAGTTTAGCTCAGAGACATAAGCGCCTGCCTTGCAAGCACGTGGTCATTAGTTCAATCCCTGGTACCGGTTTAAAAAAAAAAAAAAATTCCCAGATATGGTTTCATTTTATATATTCAATAAACATCTCCAAAAGACAAGAACTTGGATCTGTTTGGAAGATTTAAAGCCATACAAAGCTCTCTGGTGTCTTTAACTTCCTTGTACCCATGGTATCTGCCTTCTCAAACATACTGGACAGGGAGACAAGTACACTAATCAAAACCTAGATCTCAGAATTAAATATGAGAACATAGTGAGCTTTTCCATCTATGAGCTGAATTGTAAGTTAACTCTACTTCCAATCTTAACATTCTAAACCTACATATCGAGAGCAATTGACTCTATCCTTGAAATTCTCTAGACACAATTCTCAACCACTGTGTCTGAAGTTTTTGATTCTAGCTAGGTGTCATGACACATTCCTGTAATCTCAACATTCTGTTGGCTGAGGCAAGAAGATCACAGGTTCATGCCTACTCTGGACAACTTAGTGACTTAGCAAGACCCTGTCTCAGTATAAAAAAAAATTTAAAGGGCTGAGGATATAGTTCATTGCAAAGGCCCTGGGTTCAAGGTCCAGTACCACACAAGAAAATACTAAACCCTCTGATTCCTGCTTCAAAAGATCAATCAATACGCTTATTCCCTTACACAAAACTGAACTGTGTTAGGTACTAAGTCTGGCACTGGTGAACTAAAAGGAACACATGCCACACTCCCGCCTCCAGAGAACTGTGACAAGCCCACTCCCCCAAGCTGGATTCTAACTCTTATCTGGGGACTTGCCTTCCCCTATGCCTGGAACTGTTCTATAGCCCAAGGGCCCACATCCAGGAACTTCAGAGCCTGCCGCACTAGAGAGAAAGAAGAGAAGGAGGAAGGAAGGAGAGAGGAGGAAGGGAGGGGGAGGGGAGGGAAGGAGAGGGGGGATGGAAAGGGAAAGTTAAAGGAAAGGAAAGGAAAGGAAAGGAAAGGAGAAAAAAAGAAAGGAAGGGAGGGAGGAAGGGAGCCAGTTCACCCAATGATTTGGAATGAGAAAGTCTGGCTCTCGGGTATATAGCCAAGTTATTCCAGCGCCTTCCTACACAGATGTGAGGGAAGGATTCAGACAAAAGGCAGGACTGAGACGTGCAGAATGGAAAGCCCTAGGCAGCTTCTCAAGTTATCATCATTTCTGGGGGCAATGATATTTTCCTCTTTTGAAATATGGAATCAAATGAATTCAGATGAAATTACAGACTGCCCTCAACACTTCACGTTTACAAGTGATAAAAATGAGGACCTCAAAATGATTACCCTGGCAGCCTGCAAAGTATTCTGATTCACAAGGCACTGGCCCATTAGATGTTTAAAACTACAATTTCAAACAAAGCATAGCAGTACACGTCTGTAATCCAGTACTCTGGGAGGCTGAGGCAGAAATTCAAGCACAACCTGGGCAACTTAATAACTTAGCAAGAATCTATCTCAAAAAAAAAAAAAAAAAAAGGCATGGGGCTGTAGTTTAGTGTGAAGGCCCAGTATCACCAAAAAGTTTTGGGGTTTTTTTCAATTTTAAAAATTAGGAGACCAGGTCTGGGGATTTAGCTCAGCTGCACAAGTACTTGCCCGGCAAGTGCCAGGCTATGTTTGACTCCCAGTACAAAAAAAAAAAAAGGAGACTGCCTGAGCACAGTAGGATAACCCATGTAACCCTAGCTACTCAGAAGTTATATACAGGACGATCGTAAGTTAAAGGTCACCTGGGTAACTTAAGGCAATTATTTTTAAATTGTGATTTTGAGAGTTAGTAAATTGTCCAGGCCTAAAACTTGTACTCTAAGCTTGTGGCCTAAGATTTATGATACTCCTGTCTCAGGCTCCCAAGTAGGAGGGATTACAGAAGTGTGCCACCACACCTAGTGGGTTTTTTGTTTGTTTGTTTGTTTCTTAAGACAGGGTCTCACAATGTAATTCAGTTCAACTCAATTCAGGCTGGCCTTAAACAATCAATCCTCCTGCTTTAACCTCCTAAGTGCTGGGATTATAGACATGTGCCACCACGCCTGGCTGTAATTAATTAACTTCAAGACTTACTATAAACCACAGTAATCCAGACAGTGTGCTACTCTTAAAAAGAGAAATCTAGGGCTGGGGATTTAGCTCAGCAGCATAAGCACCTGCCTGTCAAGTGTGCAGTCCTGAGTTCAATCCCCAGTACCAAAAAGAGAGAGAGAGAGAGAGAGAGAAAGAGAGAGAGAGAGAGAGAGAGAGAGAGAGAGAGAGAGAGGAGAGAGAAATCTATATATCAGTGGAACAGAAAAAAGGAATTCAAAAACAGATCTAGAAATATACATCCAGCTGACTTTTTTACAAGAGTTCCATAGCAGTTCAATGAGTCTTTTCAACAAATACTGCTGGAGGTCCTGGGGGAGTAAAAATATATACATATGTAGCATTAGGGGTGACAGCCAGATCAGACCCTTATTTCTGCCACTTACCTATGTAGCCTCAAAATTAGGGTAATTCTAAAGTTGAGTGTGATGGTGCACACCTGTAATCTCATCACTTAGGAGGATGAGGTAGGAGAATTCCTCAAGTTCTAGACCAGCCTGGGCTACATAGCAAATTCTAAGTCAGACTGAACTATGTAGTGAAAAACATTGTCTCAAAAAGAAAAAAAAAAAAAAAGGGAAAGAAATTCTAGAAATATACAATACACAAGGTTATCTTGAGGACTACATGAGATAAGACACAGTACCAGCAAAGAGGCAGCATTCTATATTCAGCCCCAACCCATTCTCTACACTTTTCTTGCTCTTCCTCTCCAGGGTCCCCACTATTCCACAAGATCTTTGCTGCTTGTGTTGAAGCTTTCCCACACTGTCCAGCCAAATCAGCAGGTGCGCTGGGTTTGTTCTTCTCAACACAAGTCCCGTGCCTGTTGCCATCTTCTCCTGTCCACTCCTTGGCCCAACAAGCTGTGCCCCACCAGTATCCTATGAATGCAGCAACCTCACCGAAGTCACCAGGGACTCAAAGGACACTCCTCACCAAGTCAGACCAAGATGGCAACACCAGGCTCAGCAGCCAAGTGGCCCCACATGACCCCCCCTCCCCATACTACCCTCTGGTTTCTTCCTCCTCTACCTGTCCTTGAAACTGGGGGCTCCTTAGGCTTTAGGCTTCTTCAGTTTACTTCAAAGCAGCAATGCTGACTCCAAGGCTGCCAGGTGGGAGGTAAGGGGACTGGCACACTGAAGGCCACACATGCACCCCTCTCACTGGACAGCTGCTCTGCAGGTCCAGCCCTTGGCTGCCAAGCAGAGATGGTGCAGTGCTGCTGAACAAGCTCACTTCAGAAGAAGCCAGAGCTCCAGCTGCATTCCCTGGTAACATCCATCTAAAGGTGTTCTTTCTCATTTGACTTCCACATTGGACCCTAAAACCCAGCAGGAGACTGTTTTGCTTGCTCACTACTATATCTCAGGTATCCATCAGAACCCTGGGCACAGGTGACTTCACATTTGATAAGTAAGCTACTAACACCTTTACAGGGAAGCACCATGTCTTTGCCCCTTAAATACACATACATCTCGTTTGATACATAGGTGACACTTAGTATTCAACCTAACAGACTCTTCCTAGGTTCACCTGCCCCCACATCTACCCTCTCCTCACTACATAGTGTCACTAAGTAACCGCCCCCCCCCCCAGCACACCCTTCCCAAGAAATACCCCACTGCTTCCTGAACCTCTACAGCCAAGGTGAAAAATTCTCCACAATGTGGTCCATCCCACCTACAGGACAAACAGGAATTGAATCCAAGTCTAAAGGTTTGGCTGTGACAATGCATAGAAGGACAGAGGCTCAGAGAAGAAAAGGGATCTAGATCCAAGAGTGATGTCTGCATTGTCCATGAGTCAGCAAGGTCAGTCTGAGTCTATGTACTGGCCACCCAATTACCAAGTATGAGCTACATAGAGTCTTATCCAGTTGGGATCTTTTCATTTTTGTTTGTTTACTTATTCTGTTCTTGTTTTTTGAAAAAGGACCTCACTATAGGGCAGGCTGGCCTCAAACTCACCGTCTTCCTGCCTCAGCCTCCTCAATGCTGGCACTACAAGGATTACAGGCACTACCCTGTCCAGATCAGCTGGGATTTTTAGATCCTTGAAAATTCATACACATTGGCTAAGGATTTAGTTCAGCTGCATAACTGCCTGCCTGCCAAGCCGAGGTCATGAGTTCGATCCCTGGCACAAAACAAACAAACAACTCACACATCTAGGGACCTAAAAGCTCTGTATAAGAAATGTTTCAATTTTGTGATTTCTTTATGAAAATAACCTTAAACTTTTAAAATATTAACAGGCAAATTCAGTATTATCATATTCACGCTTTTGAGCACAAAGGAGCCAAGTAGTATTTAACAACACTTGCAAATGGCCAAAGAGAAAGCACAAACAAAATTAACATGTAAACAATCCCCTATCTCAGGCAACCAGCAAAGTGACATCATAATTTTGTAGAAATCAGAGTAATCACTGAATTATATGAGTCACAGTTGATTAGGCTTGCTAAATTCAACATATTCACATTGATAGTTTACAAGAAAAGCATGTATCAGCCAGGCATGGTAGCACACGTCTGTAATCTCAGCAGTCTACAAGGTTGAGGTAGGAAGATCACAAGTTTCATCCCTACCTTGTCCATTTAGCAATTTAACACAATCTGTCTCAATAATAAATAATATGGACTATAGCTCGGTGTGAAGGCTCTGGGTTCAAAGGCAAAATAAATATATACAAACAAAGATCCGTTTGTCATATTATTAATTTGAATTTACTGCATTTGTAACTTTGAGTACATTTTATATACATGTGTATTTTGACTTATGGTTATATCATTACTATAAGCACTTTTTTTGTCTTTGAGCCTGGGGCTCACTGTAATCCATGGTGAGAACTGAACTCAGGGCAGTCCTTCTGCCTTAGCCTCCCAAGTGCTCAGATTACAGGCATGTGTAAAACACTCTATATACAAGTTCATTTGAATATACTTAAGTAATATAATCAAACTAATTTAGTGCTAAAGATCTGTAAAACTTTGCCTTTCAAAGAGTCTGGCTGGATATGGCAACAGCTGCTGTACTCAGGAGGTTGAGGCAGGAGGATTGTAAATTCGGACCCAACCTATACTACAAAGTGATACCTCCTTCCTCTAAAACAAATAATAATAATAATAAAGAATCGTATATTGTACATTAGTCGTGACCTCATCTGTGAGGGATGTTTTTAAAGCAGATTCATTAATTGGATAAAAGACTGGGCCAGCTCGAGGTACACAGATACATACTAGTTTTTACATTAGTAAAAAGGCATTTGTATATAAACAGTGCATCTAAACAACACATAACACTGGCCTCAACATTTCTCCTCAGCTGTAACCCACTCTTGTCCACGTGCTCTGAGCTGGTCAAACTCTATCAAAATCTAACCAGGGTCTCAACCGTAAATGCCCATGGACGCCAGACTGGCAATGAGCAAAACCGATGGGGCAGAAGAAAAAAAAAATCCTCTTGCAATCTTCAGCTTTCTGTAGATTTCATTTTTCCACAGCATTTACCATATCTCTTTTCGACCCACCTATATTTTTTCTCAACCCATTAGCCCTTCCACTTTTCCCTGAACTCCATTAAAAGAAAACATCACAATAAATGTGATAAATGGCCTCCCCATAGGGGACTGTGAGACGGGGTGGTGGGGGTTCTAGCCCCAGGTACCACGTAAGAACTCACGGTGAGTTACTAGATCTCCCAGTGTTTAATACAAATAAGAACATTTAAAAGTTACAGGAAAAATCTTCCAATTAAAAAATTCTGGCAACAGATTAAAAACGCCCTCATGGCCAAAAACAACACGCCAGCGGCTCTGGGAGCGTGGACCAAGAACTCGCAAGTCGCCCACAGGTCTCCCGCGAGCATCTGCGTCACCCCATGCCCAGGGTCCCCTGCCCTGGCCAGATGCGGCTGGGCTCACGCCTCTGGAGTCCTCTCTCGGGGTCGGCGGTCGGCCACGCTGCGCACCTTGTCACTTGTCACTAAGTACCTGGTGCTGAACAAAACAACGTGGACCTGCCGCGGTAGCTCGGCGAGGTGGGGGGTGAGGCTTCCCGCCACCCCGGGGCCCCCTGAGGCGCCGGACCCCGCATCTAGCACTGCGCTGGGCCGCGGCCTGCCGCCGACAGCGGGGGCGGGCGGGAGAGAAGCGCGCGTGCGGCCTCCGGACTCCGCCGGCTTCTCCGGCTCCGCGCAGGGTTCTCACCTAAGCCTGGGCCGCCCGCGCCGGCCCGCCACCTCCCGCGACCTCCCGCCCACCGGCGCGCGCCCGCCGGCCCTCACCCGCGACAGGGTGAGGTCGGTCATGAGCTGCTCGAAGGCCCGCGTCTCCTCGGCCTGCCGCTGCGTGTGCAGCGCAATCTTCTCGCTGAACTTCCGCGGGTTGGCGCTGCCCGAACCCGGCGACGCGGCCATGGCGCGGCGCGGCGCTCGCAGGCGCGGGAGAGACAGACGGGAGCCTGCGTCTCGGCCGCTGTCGGTGTGCAGGCCGCCCTGGCCGCCCCCCCGGGCCTGTCGTCCAGCGCGACCCCGCTGAGGACCCGCCACTACCCTAGAGCCAGCAAGCGGCCCGGAGTTGGCCGAAGACCGCCCCGCCCGCCGCAGGCCCCGCCCAGGCCCGCCCTGGTCAGGATAACCCCGCCCCCGAGCGAGGCCCCGCCCCTAGCCCTGAGGGAACCTGCAGCGCGCGGCTGCAGGGAACTGCCAATCCCCGCGAGTCGCCGCAGACGCCGGGACCGAGGCCAGTGCTCCTACACTGAGCGCCTAACTTGAGGGCCTTAGGTCTTCGGGACTCCTTTCTGTCCTTCGCCCGTATTCTCTCCCACCCTGACGCGGTTTCCTGAGGTGAAGCCAGGCCACCTCACCTGGCCCCACGTGGGGTCCCAGAGCGGCCTGGGACCTTCGCGGCCAGTGCACCATCTGGTCAGAGACACCTCCAGCCTGGTGCAGCCTCTTCACAGTCCTGTCCAGGGAACCCGGAGCCTCGGCCACCGATCCCCCCTTTTCAGACCAGCCCGTCAGCGTCAGTGCTGATGTGCACACAAGAGAGTGGTTGGCTCTGTCCTGGTTTTGTAAATCAGGAAACACTAATGACATGCACAAGTGTACCCAAAAAAACACCATTCCTAATACTGGCACCTCATTGTGGAGATTAAACCAGTATGTAAACACCTCGCAAGGACTGGGGATGGAGGTGAAGGTGGGCTCCTTACCTAAGGCACAAAGCCTTGGATTTAATCCCCGGCACTGCAAATAAACACATTTTTAAAAGGCGTTTTGCTGTGTATTTTTGTATTTATAAACATAAAATCAGACATAACTCAAGGCCCAGCCACATTCTTCTATAGAGAAGGTTGCTGTGCTCAGGTTGACGCGTATCATTACTGCTCATGTGTTTGCACGTTCATTATATATGATCTGTTGATCGAGCAACTGCATATAGAATAACTGACTTTGTGTTTTAAATTTTTATACAAGTGGGCCAGACATCGGGGTTCATGGCTATGATTCCAGCATCTAGAGAAGCTGAGGCAAGAAGATCACAAATTTAAGCCCTAAACAGTGAGACCCTGACTCAAAATAAAATTTAGAAAAAGAGCTAGCGATGTAGCTCAGTGCAAAGGCCCCAGATTCAATGCCCACTACACCAAAAAAAAAGAAAGAAAAAGACATCATACTGAGTAATCTTTGCAGCTTTTGTGTTTACTGTTATATCAATTTATTTGTTTTAATTATTGGGTACTGTAGTGGATTGACAACTTGCAGTCAACTTAACACCCAGCTCAAGTGATTCAGCATGGTGTTGGGTACGGATGGTCTGTCTGAGGATTGTTGCCAACATAAAAGGGAGAACTGGAGAAAAAGAGGCAGTGTTGTTGGTCCTTCTGTTGCTGTGGTTCTCCTGGAAGAGCTTGTTGAGCTTCTTTACGGATATGAACTTGATTATTCTCATCACTGGAGAATCTCAGGACCTCGTCGCTGAGAATGGCTGTGGTCCGTCCTTTGACCATTGCTTCCTGGCTCCAGAGGGGAAGATGTATGCAGTTCAGTCTCCAGGAGAAACTTGTTATGTTGGCTTCCTGATAGGAACTCAGCTGTTCCCATCCTCAGAGGAGCTCGGGACCTCATCATCACTGAGGATGGTTGTGGTACTTTTTTGGGGAGACCTAGTCCTTATTTTAAGTGTTGTGTCCTTGCTCCAGTCAGAGCCCTCAGCCTATTGGCACAGATCCTTCATCCTGCTGGCACAGACTTTCTAGCTTGCACTGTTGACCTTTGGGCCTTCCAGATCCATGAAACAGACTTGCACAAGACATTGTTGTGGGCTCTAGGTCTACGGCTGGACTCACGTAAGATGTTGCCATAGGATCTCAGCCCTTGGCTGGATTTTGGGGGGTCATTAATGTCTGGACAGATTTTCTGTGCTTTTCATGTTTGACTCTTTGGGTAACTATTATAAAATAATTCTGTAAATTATGTATCCCTGTAATTGTTTTCCTTGCAAAGCCTGACTACAATAGATAGCACTCTGTTATTTTTATGGCTCTCATATATGACAAATAGCTGGATTATTCAGAAATTTTAATCTGGAAATATATTTGAGTTTATATCTAGTCTAGATTGTTTTATTAAAATTGGGTTTGTGTCTCTGTTGTGCTTTGTTCTATTTACTATGCTTTTATTTTATATTTTTCTGCTTTCCTGTTACATTGTCTGAGTTCAGTTTCAGAAAACAGAATATAATAGTTCTACAATGAAAGGAAATAGAGGGGCTGGGGATTTAGCTCAGAAGCATAAGCACCTGCCTTGCAAGCCCATGATCATGAGTTCGATCCCCAAAATCGAAAAAAAGGAAAAAGAAAGGATATATTAAATGATCTAACACAGCTTAAGGACTTGTTTAGATGATTGAACATTCATCGTGACTTTACAAACTGACTGCAGAACTCACAGCCACCAAAGGAGCTGCTAGCTACCTCTTCTAAAACCAGGAAGTCACCTCCTGAACTGGAAAGCTGTCACTAAACTTACAGGCAAACTTTGGAACCACACAGGTAGAGTAGTCCTTCTTTATTCATGGGTCTGCTTCCCAAGGTTTCCATTACCCTCCATCAAACACAGTCTGAAAGTACAAAGTGGGGCATTCAGAAATAATCATAGGTTTTAAATTGCTTGTCATTCTGAACAGCATGATGAAATTTTGTACTGTTCTATTCTGTACTACTTAGGATGTGAACCATTACTCTCCAGGGTATCCATGCTATATACACCATCTGCCTGCTAGTTGCCTAGTCGCCGTCCTAGGTATCTATCAGGTCAAGTGTCATAGTCTCACAAAGGCTGTGTTCAGGTAACCTTTATTTTACCTAATAAAAATCTTCAACCTGTAAGAGTTGTGATGCTAATAATTTTCATACTGTATGTCAAAGAGAAATTGCAAAGTACTTCTTTTAAGCAAAAAGATGAGTTGGGTATGGTGAAAAATTTTTAAAAATAACTTAAAGGCCCGGAATATAACTCAGTGCAAAGGCCCTGGATTCCAATTCCCAGTACAGAGAAAGAGGGGTAGGGAGAGAGAGAGCTGAAATTTTTTCAACATAATAACAAAATTTTAAAAGTATACACTACTGAGCATGATGGTGTATGCCTATAATCTCAGCACTCAAGAGGCTGAGGCAGGAGGATCACGGAGAGTTTAAGGGCAGCCTGAATGGCAAGACCCTTTCTCAAAAAAACACAACCACCAAAAATGCAGGCTGAAATCATTACATGTATGGTAAGGACAAACAGGAAGAAATGTAAGCATAGGGTTCAATACCAGCCATAGTTCAGGTATCCGCGTGGTCTTGGAATGTATCTCCCCTGATGAGGGAAGACCACCGTGTGTTGCTGTGAGAAGCCATGGACTCATCCACGGAAGTGACTGCAGCAGAAATACACACAGACCCTGCTTCACTTCCCTTCCTACTCTTCTAAATCAGGGCCTGATGGGAAGAACCAAATCATGTCCAGAGTCCCAACTGCAAGCACATCCAGGAGAAGTCTGAGTCTCCAGGCAGCTCAGTGTGGGGTGGGTAGAGGACCCTGGTGTGGCACTGGGTGTGTAATCCGCTAGACCCCAGCCTGCCAAGCCACATCCCTCTCCCATACTGCCCTTGTCTGCTTGGAATATTTTCATTCTATTTCTGTCCTTATTGTGCTTATCTTAATCATTTCAAATTCCATTTTTTTTCAGCCCTGGAATGGAACCCATGACCTTGAAAATGGTAGTCAAGTGCTTTACCACTGAGCTGCATCCTCAAACCTAAATTTATTTTGCTTTGTTTTGGCTTTCACTTGTCTGAGACAGGGTCATGCTATGTAGTTCAGGCTGGCCTTGAATTTCCTGTGCAGCCCAGGCTCGGCTCAAATGTGTGATTCTCCCACACCAGACTCCTGAATGTTGAAATTATAGGTATGCAGCACTATGCTCGGTGTTTAAATTTAATTTTTAACCAAATAAACACAATTCATACTTCATAATGTATATAAATACTTTGAAATAATAGTCCAGATTTACAGTATTAAAAATAGGTAATTCTCACTGTAAATGATAAATCTATCCCACTGCCTTGCATTGGTTTTCAATTTTAAAGATACTTTATTTTCCTATTATGGAAAGAGATAATTTGAGGTTTCCCCTTGCTCTATCCTGATTGCCTGTATGCTGAGGTGCTGTTGAGTCTCCAACCCTATTCCCCTGTCCTTCATGTCTATCCACTACTACCCCACTTCTTGATTTTGGATGCCTGCATCTCAGGTTGTCTGTTTTCTTCCAGCTCTGGGAATTGGGTCCAGGGCCTTCTCACTGAGCTTCCTCCCCTGCGCTGTCTTTATTTTTTATTTTGAGACAAGTTTTCATAAAGTCATTCCGTTGCCTAGGCTAGGCTTAAACTTGCCACCCTCCTGCCTCAGCCTCCCAGAGTGCCGGGATTACAGATGTGTGCCACCACCCAGCTTCAGGATGCCTTTCTGCTTTCTTTGCATAACTCTTCCTACTACATTCTCCTAGATAGGAGCAAAAAGCTACATGAGAGGTGAGACACTTGAGCCAAGGTGTGCAGATGTGTCCTTTTGTCCTCCTGCCAACTCTAGTCTGGCTAAGACTGCTCCTGTGGTCCTCTTTCTGCAGGCCTCTCCATCAGATCCCGGAACGCCTTGCTTCACCGTTTCCACCATTCCAGCGTGGCTCCGGGAAGGCGTTCGCGCTGTTTCCTTTTCCTTTGTAGGTGACCTGATTCTGGGAGAGTTGTTTATTTTATATTTCTCCTTGTTCTCTGAAGGCCTAGTGCTCTGGTCTTTTATGATCTGGGTCTTCAGTGATTGCTCATCACGCTATTGTGTGGAGACTGGAAACTCCACACCCCACGGCTTGGGAAGGCTGTCCGGTGTTTCTGATAATTTTCTTCTCTTCATTTTCATTCTGGAACTTCTGGTGGTCAATTAACGAGTTTCCTAGACTGTTCTTCTCATTTTGTTATCGTCTTATTTTCCTACTTATCATCTTTCATTGTTCTGTTTCCTGATAAATTTTCCCAAGTTTATCTTCCAATTCTTCCTTCTATTGAA